TGTAATGTTATGGTTGTTTATTTGTATGGGAAGAACTCTGGATATTATCAATATAAATCACTTTGCTCAGCTTAACGTAATTCCGGTCTCAGCGGCATGTTCCGGCAGCCGGAAAACGGGTATGGCGAAGGGGAATAGTGGACGCGTGTGTTCACTTCCGGGGGTGGCTGTAGGAGCCGAGAACTTCCGGTCGGTCTAGACAATCTTTCACACAGAACTGTTAGTGTCGATTACGCGAATGCTTAGTGGAGTTCGAATGCAATGAGGCTACGATGTAAATACATTCTGGGCTCCCGTAATCAGTCCTAGAGAAATACATCTTAAATCTGCTACACAATTAAGGAAATCCACACGAGTGTAGTCTTTCATTGTACAGAATGATCGAAAATTTACGCGATAAATTTCTATCACATTTTCCGCTTGTCAAAATATAAATTATTTGAAATTTTAAAAAAGCATCGTAAGTTTTCGAAATGCCCACTACGTTTCTGCCTTTGCGTCATGTTTGATGCATCGCCGCGAAGACTTTATGCATGAAGTTATAAATCTCTGTAGCCTTCTGCAAACTTCCGCAGAATAATCGTATCGCGTTTACATCAGTTTAATTTTTTCAGTCTTCGCCTGATCTTTTCTGGAATTTACCTATGCAATAAATGTTGCATTTATTCCCACAATCCTCGCTATTAGCCTCTACATATTTCAGTTACTTTAAATTCGTCAGACTTAAAACTTAAATGTCTGTACTATCACAGTAGAAATTGTTACGTTTAAAACACTTCAAAATTACATTTAACCGTGTTTGTGGTTCATCTGCATGCATAATTTCACGAACCTAACCTCTCGTATTTTATGAGTTAGTGCCGATATGAATTTGGAAAAATTCTCGCCGTCACAATGCCAATGTTACACATTCAACAAAACATAACTTTTACAAATGTTTCACTATGAACAGAGTTTAATTATCTTAATTGTAGTGACACTAATATCTCTCCACTCACGTAAGTTCCCAGGCCCCTGTGTTGGTATTATTCATGATTGTGGCAGCACAAAGTTTGGTGGTCTGTGGTGAAAAGCCTTTCGTACAAAATATCTGGGTAATCCTCTAATTGTTTCAGAAATCACTGAAGATTTATTATGGTGGGACTGGCACATTACAAATACGTAGACAAGTTACTACCGCAAGTCTCTCTATCTTTATATACGAATAATAATGACAGCAGATTAAATATAAATATATATTGTTTAATTTTAACCGTCTAATCACAATAAAATATTTTATTGTGATTAGACGGTTAAAATTAAACAATTAGAATCATCACAATATGACGCAACATTATCATCTCATAAATATATATATATATTTATGAGATGATAATGTTGCGTCATATTGTGATGATTCTAATTGTTTAATTTTAACCGTCTAATCACAATAAAATATTTTATTGTGATTAGACGGTTAAAATTAAACAATTAGAATCATCACAATATGACGCAACATTATCATCTCATAAATATATATATATATTTAAGCGTACGGTAAATATGCTTCACTGGAAGAGTGACTTCGATCTGCAGAAGAACTTCGTCACTGCGTTGAACAGTACAGCTGTGATAATCAAAGTAATTCATTTATTACCTTTAATTAAAAAGAAATAGTTAATTGGAATTTAAACTAAATATATTTATTACAAGATTTGTCTTCAGCAGAAGCTCCCACAACCCCTGAAACACAATTCCTCTACTCCAAAGAGCAGAGTCTGTCATTAGAGGCTGAATTCCCCGTTTCCTATGGAATTCGAAGAATTATTTGCGATCATAATAGCTCACTGATAACCTCTTTCCTGAGCCACATGAATCCAATCAAAGCCTCTCTCCAAATCCTATATTCTGAATTCCAATCTTAATATTTTCTTTCTAAGTATTTTCTTCCTTATAGATATTTCAAGCATTTGTCATTATTCTATCTTGCCCAAATAATATTTAGCGAAGACTATTATTACTTATCTCCTCACTATGAACACTGAACGTTCTGTTATTCAGTTCATAACTTAGGTCCAAATGCACTAATCAATGTTATCTTGAACACCCAAATTTCATGTTATTTCTACGGAGTAAGAGACCAAAATTCACGTTCATATAAACCAGGTAAAATTATAACTTCATGTGTCTTAAATTTTACAGTAATAGTGAGGAGATTAGAAGAGAAAAGATCCTAAAATGATTCATAACAACCACTCCCTTCACTTAATTTCTTATTAATGAAAGTAAGTTTTATATATTACTGTCGTTGTACCACGATTTTATACGATGTATTAGCCTCAACTGTTTTGTAATAATATCCATTTCAACTATATATACATGTGTAAATGTTATTGATAAAGGTACGTCATTAAACTAGTGCGTATTCGTTGGCATTTCAATTTGTCCATTAGTTGAACACACAACATTTCGAAAGTTGGCTTTGGTTCCGTAATTAGGTAATATAATCAAACCTATTCTTTTGTTTATATTATTTGGGGGGGGGTAGAAATTATCTGTATTTAATAAACCAAGTAATTTTGTTTTGAAACTTTGTCTGTTGACGTCAGAAGAATCCAACTCCCGAAGAGATGTGAGTTGTTAAACTGTTATAGACAAACGGATCTGTAAAATTGTTCTCTTACATTTTGAACGTAGTCTAAATTACAAAATAATAAATTTACAACATTTCGGAAACTGGATTATTCTGACGTCTTCATGAGGTGCATACCTACGGTTAGATTAACCAGGGTGACCAAAAATTATGGTTTTTCTCCTCTTTCGTCATTTTGGCCTATATATGGAAGCAGAATTCAGGTTCTTATATGTTTTAATTATTATTATTATTATTATTAGTGTTCTGTCTGACGACAGGTCAATATGAACAGGATCCTTCCATCCTTTTCTCGGACTGGGACCTGTTCATATACGTTCTTGGCAGATGATCCAGAAGTGGTTTGCCATTTCCTTCTTCTGTGTGTGAATGGAGTAATTGTTGGGATGCCACGGAGAAACCGGGGAAGCCCCCGGAGGAAAACTCCGTGTTGCCTAGACCACGGCCTTGCCCAACACAAGTTACAAATTCGGGCACCGCCGGGAATCGAACCCGAGACCCCAGGATTACAAGGCCAGCGTTCTAACCGCTAGACCACCGTGGCTCGTTTTAATTATATTATTTTATAATTTTGTTGATGGACAAATTCCAAGAAAATTATTTTTTAATATTATACTTCGTTATCGACATAAATCTTCGTACTTTATAGTATAATTTATCGAAGAATACATATAATACAGGCTTAGTAACAATGTAACTTATGTAAGACATTAAAATAAGAACGTAAATATTCTCAGAATTGTATTACGAATTACAAAGGTCACGAAGAGATTTTATCTTCAGTGGCGACGAGGATTCTGTTTTATAACTGAGAGCGAGTGGACCGCATAAGGATGATGTCTGAACAGCAGGAGGTAATGGGAATTTCTAAACAGGGCCCCATGTTTCATTAGTTGCATGTCACATAGGCTTCCTAATTGATTCCTTGCTAATGACGAAGAGGGGATTTTATTGAAAGGGCGTTGAGTTTTCACAGCACGAACGCCACGTGCCCAACTGCTATATGAACAGGAATTTCGACCTCTCGCCCTCACCCCCTGTTTTCACTATTTTCATTCCCTTTTTATTGGAAAATGTGTCCCATGCTGTGATGCTCACCATGTGGTAACAAACACGGAGGGATAGAACAGAACTGCTATGTTCAAAATTAGTATTTAACGAGTTGATTGGATAATCAGTACCAACAAAATTGAACAACCGAGCTCATGGTCGCCTAGACGCGGAAATCTAAGCTTCTGTCTCAAGAACTAACTATTAATATTAATTAATTCTCGTAGCCCCATAAAGGATTGTCATGGAAAATATCTAATCCGCTGTAGTTTAATTCTATTAAATTCAATTACAACAAAATTCCCATTTTATTTATTTAGGATGTGGCACGTAGTGTGAAAATGTTTGTGAAATCAAAATCAATTCATATATTGAGAATAAGTTTAAATTTTATAAAGTGGATGGAATTCCTACGCTTTTACATGGAAATGAAATTTGAATTACAGGAATAAAATTATTCATAAAATAGAAGCATTTTAAATTAAATGTTTAAGAAGTACCAGAGAATGTTATAAATTGGACAGAATTAACAAGTTAAGAAATATAAGAAACACGTAAAATTCTGGTACGTTTGCCGTGTCATTTATTCTAAATTTTTAATTCGGTAATTGTGACGTTTAATATTCTCTTACGAAATATCGTAGGCTATAAACTGACGGGCAATTATTAACGTCCAATAAAAGTTTGTTCAAAATTATTATAACAAACACCTTTATAATAATTGTTCCTCTGGTTAGAAACGTGTTACAGAATAAATTCGTATTACGATGGAGTTATAAAATATACTAGACAGTTATCACAACAGAAGATGAAATTCGAAGTAAAATGCTCGTTATTACAGTTTTTTTTCAAAAAAATCGACTTAAGTAAAATTCTACTCGAATAAAAGTCATATGAATCAGTAACAAAACGATTACATTAAAGTAGCTCTAGCCACGGACTCGCCCTTGAAAATTGGTAGAACTAATTATCATCACAGTCGATTAGCGTAGACACAATTAGCTTTTAATTTAGATAAATGTCAAATCAACATAAGTAGAAATTCCGGAATAAAATCTTATCTCTGTAACTTTATGTAACATGTTTTTACAGTGAGAATAAATCGATTATTCATCAACGACGTATTTCATGTGTTGTGCTATGTATATGTACTATTTTAACTGCTCAGAGGGACCTGTGTACTATGCAATGTTTTGCTGGGAAAGTTCCCACGATCGAGCTCAACTCTTGCTTACCACTGACACCGAATGGCCGCATGTTTTCAAGGTCATCATCATAACCGCTTCACTAATGAATAACCGCGTCTTCATTTCTCTTTCCTGCACAGAGAACGGGAGCGGTAGTGTCTATAACTCAGCCTGAAATTGTCATAGTATGACAAATCCAGCAACCAAATCCTCCCCTTCAATACTGGAAAGTTCTTCTGCCAAGCGTGTGACTACTCTTTGTGTCGATTAGGCGGTTCCTCAGTTCGCTTTGTTTCTAATCAGTTTAATACCAAGTGGATAAAACAAGTTTTGAATTGAATTGTTTATTATAAAAGAATTTATACTTTGTGTTTATTTTAGTGACTACTGTGTACGTGTTTTATGCTAAAGTGTTTCAAGTGGTTTAAACTCACGAACATGATCTCATGATTTTATAAGTTATCAAGAACATAACCTCTCTGACGTAATGAAACCATGGTACATCAGGCCTCTGCAATGAAGGTAAGGCTTTGTTTTAATTCCAATGTAATTACAACAAATGTGCTGTAGTGACGGAATTACATTTTATTGCAGAAATATTTATGAAATATCTCACATTCGGAATTTGTAGTTAAATGTATGTTCATTTTATAGAATTGTATGTTAATGTTCGTGTTGTAGGCTTGCATACGTTATTTTTAGATGAAGCAATTTGATTTGCATAACATGTCAGATGCTCTGCTGTAAAGGCTAATTTGTGTGGTGACTGAATTATAAATTCTCAGATATGGATTACATCTGAAGTATTATAGGGGGTATGGGCCCCAGTTCCGTATATTTTAGCGGCGTCAAATATATAAAAACATTGTGCAGCGTAGCGTACTTTACCCATATATTGCCTTCTGATCAATACTGGTGGCTTTTGCTTTCAGTAAAATGTAACATATTTTAATACAGTTTTTTTTATTAAGGTTGCCTGTAACTTGAAAAGTATCCATTATAATTGTCGTGTAAACAATATTTTACTGAGCATTTGACTAGCAGAAAGATGAAAACGTATTAGCACAACAAATGTTGTCAAAACATGGTATTCTAATGCTGATGGGAATTAACAGAAGAGAACAGAATTTATTTACATACCATAAATCCTTCAGTGTAACCACAATGTACTACAGTAACGACCAAAAAGTTTCTTGCAAATGAAAGTATATTAATTTTTTTTTAAATGGTTGTCATCAAGAGACTACTTTTAAAATCTGCCGTTGTTCTAACACTTTTATATTTTAAATAAATTTTCTGTCTGTTTAATTTCGAAAGAACGTTACTCCGCGTGACATGATCGAACACAAACAAGTAATGTAGTATAATTTTAAAGTATCTGTCTTCAAGAGTGATATAATCGACCTCATTTCAAAGGATGCTGAACTTAATTTGGCAGTAATACATTCAGTGTGCTTTTTTCACATATAAGTTATTATCAAGTCGTAAGCCACTGAAAATAGTTTGAAAGATTTTACTGAATTAAAAGTTTAGAATTTGTTTATTTGTGGTGATTTGTGTATGTAACACGTACTTAGCTCAGTCTTAAAGTATCAACTTTAAGAAGGCATCGATATCATACCAATGAGAACAGGAGTTTACACATAATTATGGTGTAAAATCAATTGAGGTGCAACACACGTTTGGTATAATCATGCCTGTCCAAGGCTGGTACATCATTCAATGGAATGTGGGACATAGTTTCAGTCCAAAGCGCACGTTCCAGCCTCATAATATTTACACTCAACACCCACCAGTCCATATTCAGTCGCCACTATCACTAATTATTACGCGTTAGACCTTCAAACTCTGACGTCACAAATGCTACGTGTTCGAGAACAAATATGCCAATTAGAATATTCTGATTTTGAATCCCTTATTGGATCTAATGCTCGGCTGTTTCATAAGCAGCCAGCAGAGGATTAATATGCTTTGTTACTGATAAATTAAATGAGTAAAAGCTTTAATGGTTTGTCCTTACATAATTATAGTTAAATTGTATAAAAATTAAATAAAATGTTTAAAATAAATATTAGAGTTGTTATAGTTTATAGAATCTTTTCGCGTTTTAGAAATATATTTTTATGTTACGTAAGAATATTTTAATGGTAAATGATCAATTCTGTGATGATGAGAATACATGTTGGAAGAATATATATTGAATAAAATTTGGTTTGCACAGTTCGTAATTGATGCCAATATCTCACATCAGTCGGTTTTTCATCGAACTAACTTCATACCTGGACACTGATCGTTTCTAACCTAAGTTGGGAAATAGATTACTGTAACTGATATTAATCGTGGTTTTACTCAATGGTACATTTCTATTAATCACGACAGCTTTGTTTTGAATCACTTAAATTACACCTAAAGCAATTTTGTGGCATCGTAAACGTTGTTGTCGATAAAACGTCGTTAAATAACGTATGATCCAACAGTCGTGACGGTGGTTCTGTAAATGAACGGATTGTTATTACTAATTTAAGTTTTGGTTTAAAGTAAAACACGAAAATTTATGGTAAATTCGGTATTTGACGAAATTCTTATTCTCCATGTTTCATTTCGATTATTTATTTAAGCTTCAAGCGTGTTCTGATATCACGACTCTTACAATTGAACTACGCACTGTATCTCCTGCACCAGACTGTTGGAACGTGAACCCATGCGTTGTTGTTGGCAAAGTATAAGAACAAAGCAACCGGTACGCTTAATTCGTCAGTCATGGAATTTCTTTAAAAGAGAAAATAAAACATTTTGCTACGGTTAGGTTGGAGGAGGATAGCAGAAAAATCATTAGATTTGAGGCGGGCGAAACAGTTTAGCGAACAGAAGTTGGGGTGAGTGAGAGCGGATAGCAAATGAACCGCTGATGGATGTTAACAACAGATGTTTCGAGGAAAATAAAGGAAGACTGACGATTTAGGGATGGATTATAAGAGAAACTGGTATCGAACAATAACAAAAGAAACATCAGGAGAAATTGTATTTTTAAAAGAGCTGTTAAAATTTCGAATTATGTCCTCCTGACTTGCATTAAGACATGTATTGGAATTTTCTAGTGAAGCATCTCTTTGATAAAACGAATTGGGACTTGCCTATAGCTACAAAGACTTACGAAAATAATAGAGACAGGAAGTATTGAATTGTCTGCTTTATTAAACAGCGTTGGGTCTACGAAAAGACTCAATCTACCTGAACTTCCCTGTAACGTCGTATCACGTACAAATTGTGATAGATTCTTCATTTTGCTTGAAACGAATTCGACAAAACACTTCCTCTATTCCGAAATTTTGTGGTTCTGTTGTCTGCTCGTTCTCTCGTATTCCCAAAATGTGGGCTGTGATGCTGTAAGTAGGGTTTCATGTTTCCGCAAGACAATTTGGGGTGTTGGGTTCGATTCCCGGCGGTGCCCGAATTTATAACTTGTGTTGGGCAAGGCCGTGGTCTAGGCAACACGGATTTTTCCTCCGTGGCATCCCAACAATTACTCCATTCACACACAGAAGAAGGCAATGGCAAACCACTTCTGGATCATCTGCCAAGAACGTATATGAACAGGTTCCAGTCCGAGAAAAGGATGGAAGGATCCTGTTCATATGGACCTGTCGTCAGACAGAACACTAAATAAAATATATATGTAATTTACTTCTTGGTCGTCGTGGGAGCAGACTTCGACGCCGGCGTCAGTTTTGAAGTTTGCGTCGAATTTTGATTCTATTGGTTTCGGGTCGACTAGTCTGTTCTGAAATATATCATATAAATGTTTCCAAGATTTCAAATTGTCTACGTTGACAAAAAAACTGTTGTTTTCGGTTGTGCCATGCAGTTTGGTATAAGTTTACCAGCGTTTCGAAGGTCCTTGGTACTTCCATGTTCAGGGCAATGAGTAAACACAAGAAAAATAGCGGTCAGTATGTCAGAAGCATTGAACTTCAACGATCATTTACAGAGATTTAAACTTTTTAATGAAGACACAGTTTTGTTGAAATATTTTCTGGGCCTTCCGAAGTATCGTAAGAAGATGCCGAACAGATTTCACATCTCTGTCTATTTTAGTACAAGATAGTGATAAACTTTGGTCTAAAATCAAATAAGTCAAATTTCGTAACATTTATGAGTGTCTTAAGAGAAATATCTGAATCTACGGTAGAAGACAACTGTTGGTGCAAGTTTGTTCTTAATAACATAACCATTTTTGTACAAGTCTCCTCACTGATGAAGATAAATGGCAGACAAACTCAACGTCAGTCCTACAACTGATTTAAGCCACTGGTACTCGCGGCGTAAGCTCATCGCTAATGTTATGAGTTATTACGTTTTAATTACTGATAATTGAGGCAGCAAGAACCTATGAAATGCTGGTAAACTTCTAACAGACTACACGGCGCTACGACCAAGAAGACAGCCATCTTAATTCACATTGTTCTATCCAAAGGGCAGTTTGACAGCGCGGCCCTTTAAAATAAAACTTTTGTGGTTGGTTTAAATGAGGTAAAATGAAGGGAGTAGTGCAGTTAGAAAGAGACAGTACTCCACAGTCGACCTAATGTACACAAGTGGAAATTTTTGAATACCGAATTTGCTAAAAGGAAATTGGGGGAAAAATATTTCTGTAACATCAGTAAGTAGTAACAATATAAAATGTTTGCACAATACTGACATAACTCTCAAATAACTGTTGTCAAATACAAATAAATTGATTTATACAACAATATTAATTTATTAAGTCAGTGCGTAACAACACGCGAGAAGTCAAAACAACAATTTTCCATGACACATAATTATTTACAGTTTATTTAACGATGATATTTCAGTATCTCACATTATATAGCGTCGAATGAGAAGACGATAGTAAATATTAAATTGAAAAGGATATTGAAGATAGACGTCGTGGCCTAATTTAAGGTACTATCTCGTCATTTCCCTGGAGTGACCGAGGAAAACCATCTATAATTTACACATTAATGTTATTGTGATTCAGTCTTCTAATAATTATGCTTAATGATTACTATATATTACATTCTCTTATAACTTTCAATCACGTATGTAAGCTCACAGTCACTTACGATGGCTTCACGGAGCCGAAACGCGTTTGGAAATGTGAATTAAACAAACAGAAATAATATTAATGATAAAAGTAGTTGGTTTATGTAAATTTGTGTGTTATAACCTGGAGTGAGAGACTTCGAGGAGGCTATTTTAATTTTCTGCAACTCTCAAGTTGTTTCCGATTTCTTGTGAACAAAATAAAATCAGCAATTATATTATCTATAAATATTCAAATTACGTAATCATATTAATTTTTAGTAAACTTTTATAAAATTAAAATGCATCGCATATATTTTCTCTGGAATGAACATGTTTTCGAGGGAACAGAAGTATAGAATTTTCGTTTTGTCCGGACTTTCCGTAGCTATTAAGAATTACGTAATTTTATACATTTTATTTTATACTGAACTTTTCGGCAAAAGAAAATTGCATAT